ATTTAATGGAAGACTGGCTGGGTGAGATACTCCTATTGTAATGTTTATGCAGTGAGACAGCTTTCCTGTGTTTGTATTGTATTTCAACACTCTTGTCTCCACGCCTATGTCTCCCTTCTCCTAAGAAGACACACATACAGACATTGCAACATCATGTTGGACATGGGGTTCTGTGGTGACAGGGAGAGAGTTACCTTGAGCCTTTGTATCAGCTGACATCCCAGGATCTAATGCTCTATCCTCTCCCACAGCCCCATGCCACCCACACATTTCCCAAGCCCCCCTCTCACATTAACCCAACCCCTACTGTGCTGCCTTCATCTGGAAGGAAAGTGACAGAAGTGAGGACTGCACGCTCGCTCACTTCTCACTGCAGCAGCAGAACCCTGGTCGGCCTTTTGTTTTAGATTTATATGGGTACCTGAGTACTGAGTACCCGGAGTCAGACTCCAGGAAGCCAGGAATTATCCTATAAATATGTGTTTCAATTTCCTAACTGGATTTAGATATAACTCAACTTAATTAATTCAGTAGAATGTTAGCCTTAGATAATTTATACGATATGGATTCTTGTATATTGATACAAATATAAACTATCCTTATATTCCTATTTAAGATAATTTGTATATTGATACAAATACAAAACTATATTTGTTGTATGGTACACATATTCCTACTCCTGTTTGAAATATTTTGTACAATGATACAAATGTAAAATTATATTTGTCATATTGTATGTATGTTCTACCTCTGCTTAAGATATCTTGTATATTGATACATATTTAGGATTATTGTCATATTGCATATTGCTCTATACATTTCTACCTCTGTTTAAGCTGTTTTGTATATTGTCACAATTTTGAGGTCATTGTCTTTATACAGTACATCTGCTTACAGACTGTTTATCTTGTTAATGGGAAGCTTTAGTCCCTAAATTATTTTAGTAGAGAAGACTTACTGAGCTATAGTCACTCATGCTTGTCATTTCTATAGTTATGTTGGTTAGATTCTCCAGACTTACAGAATCTTATGTCAGATGTATAGGTAATCTTCAAACACTTCATAGACCTAGAGAATGTGGCATTTAAATGTTTTGATAACTTAGAATTCTGTTGATGTGAGACATGATTTCTCCTGGCAACACCAATCTGATCCCGAGAGAATGTTGGGCTTCTGAGACATTTCTCTTTCTAAGTTTGTTGTCTTCTTGGCACAAAATGGCCTACTGGGCAAAAACTGCCCTTGCCTCAACTGCTGATAGTACATATACTGTCCCTTTTGAATGAGCAGGACACAAGGAAAAGCGACTACTGAACTCTGCCAAGACAGTGTAAGTCTTTCAAAATTCCTGCTTCTGAAAATGGCCTGTCAGATACTCTAGGCCTGTAGCCAATTTGAATGCACTAATCATGCTGAGAAACATCAGGTGACTGTCTAGGCTGCCAGCTGTCTCTGTCTACTCTTGAAAGATTTCCGAAAGTTGCTTGCATCCATCTCCTGTTTTCTCAGGTATTATTATGTTCCTTCTCAGGTATTTGATGGAGTTGAAGACTAGATAGTTACAGTTACAATCTTTTCATATCTTAGCTAGAATATATTAGTTCTAGAGTCAGAATCTTCAAGATAGGACAGGTATTGGAGTAATCCCTGTAATTTGTCATTTACCTATGTTCTGGACATTTCTGGACATTTAGCATGTCTTTCTTGTTTGATGTTATTCTTGTTGGTTGTAGTTCCATTTTTGTTTATGTTATTACCCTTTGTTTTTCCTGGACAATACTTGATAATCATTCTTATTGTATATAGTTTGCATTAAGATTAGAACCTTCTTATTTAGACAAAAAGGGGAAATGTAGTGGTATTTGCTCCACCCATGATCTTGGGCTATATGGACCCAAAGGAGGTGGTGTTTCCTGTCATTGAAGGTGACCTCTGATAAGGAGTTGGAGAAGAGTCACATGCCCCTTCTCCCTGCTCCTGCCTGTGAAGTGGATTTGCTCCCTGTCAGATCAGAGGACAACTTCAACTGTCTGCTCCGTTTCTGTAATGGTGAGTGTATTTCCTCAATTTATATTTTAATAAATTCTGTTATCCGTTTAATAGACTTACATGGATTGATTGTAATACCTGTCATAGGAGTATGGGGCAAGTGTCAATGATGAATGGGGTTGACTGTCCCATTGACAGGGTCAGAAGGTGGTTCCAGTTTAAATAAATTAATTTTAAGACAAGAGGGAATTGACATTCTTTTGTATTTTAATTTATATAAGGTGTAAAAATTGAAATTCTGAATATCAAGAACCCACAACAAGCAAACAACAACAAAAAAACTACCCTAAACTACCAACCAACCAGCCATCTAAGAAAGCAAACACCTGCACAAAACAAAGAAACAAAACTCATGCTTCAGTGCAATGATGACATCAAGAGGTAAGCCCTTTGCATAATGTAAGCCCCCCACTAGGTAAGCCCCTTCATGAGGCAAGCCCCCATGAGATCACCAGTAGATAAGCTCCTCCATGATGGAAGTCCCCCTATGAGGCAAAACCCTCCCTGATGTTAGTCCCCTCCATGAGATAAGCTCTATCATGCTTCACTTGAGATACATATTCACAGCAGCTCTTGTTGGATTTTGCAGTTTTGGGAGCTCTACAAAGACACAAGTGCCTCTTCTGTCTCTCTGCCAGGGGACATCTTGACTTTATGCTTCACAAGTACCTTCTTAAAGTTGTCATGACCATAAAAAAGCCAATGAACCTTGGATCAAAAATCATATGGAAAACAGTGTTTTTCACATAGAACTTTGGCAGAGAGTAAGAAGACACATAAAGTAATTACACATTCAGATCTCCTTGGCTGCTGACGTATCATCTAATAACATCCAGCAATTGGTTCCCCAGGGGGTGCACTCCGGATGTGATGGCATTCTTGAAGCTTTTCTCCCAGATTTATTTCTCAGATGTGTACAGATTGCCTTGTGCCAGCATGGAGAGCCCTTTCAGCCTCTCAACTCAGATTCCAGAGGATAATGTGTTAATTAGGAGGACTTCTTCAGACAATTCCTTCAGTGACAGAAAAAAACTGCCAGTGCATTTTTTTTGAGAAGATACTGAAGTTCAACAATGTGTGTGTGTGTGTGTGTGTGTGTGTGAGATCTGACTGACACCCTTTAAATAAAATTGTTTTGAGTAAATGGATTTTAAAATTGATTTTTAAGTTACTATCCAAAGTGATGGTGTATGGCATCTTCACAATACATGCCGTTATACTTTGTTCTTATTCACATTTCTCCTTTCCCAACCCTACCCCACACTCCTTTCTTGCTAGCTCCTTTTTTTTTTTTATCCAAAAGAGTCCTCCCTCGGCATGGGTGGGTGATAGATATCATCTCCCCCACCCCAAGTAACTGAGGCAGGTGGGAGAGCTGGCCCTGAGGTCCTAAGAGCGGGAGAGCTGTCCCTGCCCCGTATCAGCTGCAGCATTCGGGAGAGAGGACCCCACATCTCTTCTGGGCAGCACAGTAGAGCTGGCCCTGAAAGTGTAGATGTGGAAGGACCGACCTGAGATCACGAAAGCCTGAGAACTGGTCTCATGGCTGCAAGGGGTGAACTAGCCAATATTGGAGAGTTCACCCTGGTGGTGAAGACAGGGGAAAGCTAGCGGGCTGACCAACCCTGAAACTATCCAGTCCTAGAACCAGGGTTGGCCCACCCCAACATCCACCCCCATCTGTGATCTGCTGGAGCGTGTGTGTGTGTGTGTGTGTGTGTGTGTGTGTGTGTGTGTGTGTGTGTGTGTTGCGGGTGGTGGGGTGGAGTGGGGTGTGTTAGTCTTGTGGACCCAGGGCTGCAGGATCTCTACAACACAGGACAGCAGCCGGATGTCCAGGAGGAGTCCCAGTGAGGGTCCAGCATTGATAGCACAGCAGAGACCAGGGGCCTTGAACCAGATCAATGGTTCTTTTCTATAAATGCATGCATGTAAAAATGTATAGATAAAGGGGTTTACTGTGTGACTCACTGTGTCACACTGCAGCTTCCACGATGAGATTTTCCCCTTCTTCCTTTCCCCCCCTTTTCTTTCTCCCCCCCTTTTTTTCTTAACTTTTGTTTTATTTTGAGGTAGGGTGGGAGATGGGTGGGATCAGAAGGCATGATGTGAAAGACACAAAGGATAAACAAGTAAAATAAATAAAATAAATAGTTCTCCCTTTTGTAAAGCTAACATTTTGATTCCAAGTTTATAATCTTTTTACTTCCCTTTTTACACCCGATTTTACACCTTTTGTCTCTCACTAGAGAGTGGGACAGTGTCCAGAGGCTCGGCCAATACCATATCATATGTTTTTGTCCTGCTTCTCCCCCTCCGTTCTTCTCTTCATTTCTTTCTCCACACATCTCCCTAAGTATGATTAGATTTTAGCTTACAAACCACAGAGACTCTATGTCATCCTCCATGGTAGGTTGGAAACTTTCTCCCTTCTCTTTTTGTCCTTGCTTATCCTTAGATTTATATGCCTGGCATGGTATGTGCTTACCAAGCTGTCTGAATAAATAATGAATAAATTAATTTCGTTGTTCAGCTGACTGATCCCTAGATTAGCATCAGTACTGGTTAAAGCCCAGAAGCTCTGGAGAAGCCCCTAGTGAATGGGTACTGCGTACAGAAGTGCTGCCCGTCTCCTGCACTAAAATGAATTCCTGGTTCATAATTACGTTAAGACGACTGGATAGGACTCTACTGTTTGCACAGACCTGTCTAGAAGAATCTCAAAGCGTTATCATACAGGATCTGGTTGCGACTGGAAGCTGTCTTTTTTTATTTTTTTATTTTTTATTTTACAACACCATTCAGTTCCACATAATAGCCACAGATTCCCATGCTCTCCCCCTCC